TTATATATATATATATATATAATATTATTTTCAAAATCTGACAACCGGGTATCTAGTCATTGCATAGTTTTAAATGCCTTTGGCTAATTGCAAAGAAGAACGAGGTGATAAAAGAGGTTTACATAGTGGGGGGACTCTCATTAAGTGTATTGAAATTATTTGTTGTGGAGAGCATAGAGAGTATAGGACTAAAATATGCTTGCCAAGTGCTAAATTGCAGTACATTGTTGAGTGTGTTGATGGAATGGTTTAATTTGTTTTTCAAATTTTAATTTAGATGTTTGTTAGAGGGAACATGTCATTATGTAATGATGTATTGTATCTCGAAATTTCATGCAGTATGTAGAAATGAGAGTACAATATAAATGTAATTATGTTAGTGGATCAGTGAAAATTAAGTAATCAGACAGTGAGAGTTATTGAGACAGTGAGAGTACAATATAAATGTTAGTGGATCAGTGAAAATTAAGTAATCAGACAGTGAGAGTTATTGAGACAGTGAGAGTACAATATAAATGTTAGTGGATCAGTGAAAATTAAGTAATCAGACAGTGAGAGTTTTTGCATCTATTCAGTTAGCCTTGAGTTATCCAGCTTGTTTATTAGCAGTTAGTAAAGAAAGTCTGCAAGTAAATTTTTAAGTTAGGAATACACTAATTTTGAAGTTCCTGTAGAAATGTTGTTTTGAAGTTAGGCCTACAAGTAAATGTAGCTTATAGCAAAGATTATTGAGATTAGCATTATTTTCACCATATAATTCAAAAGAACCTTCTTTATGAGAGAACACAAAACAGCTATAATAATATAGTATAATAACCTAAATTAATTCAGGTATGTTTATAATGCATGAGGCCTTTGTCATAGATTCTCAGTTTCACCTCTTGTGAAAAAGAAAATAAATTTTTCACACACACACACATATATATACACACACACACACAAACATAAAACAACTGTTTAGTTGCTGGTACCAGGGACATTCTCTTTTTATAATAAATATACGAGTAAATGATGTTCGACATTTTAACTCGGAAGAACTGCTTAAAAGATAAAAAGAATTTATTTAGAGGTTAAGGAATAGAAATAGTTGTGTGGTTCATTCAGGAATTCTCCCTTGGATACAAGGATTAAATGAAAGATTATTGTGGATATGCTTAGAACAATAAGTGGGTTTTGTTTGGACCTGTGATATAGTTTTCAGGGTAAAGATGAATTAGGATGTCGATAAGAAATTATATAATGAGTTCAGGGCTATGATTATTAAGAATATTGCTGCAGTAATTATGGAAGACTTTCATTTTAGACATGTTCATTGGGATTGTTTGGAGTCAAATAGTGAGGGAAAAAGGGTTCAATGAAGTGTGATTTAAGATAGCTTTCTGTACGAAATGGTCAGGGAACAAAACAGAGGGGATGCAGAAGGTGAACATTTGGGAAGTGTGGTCATAGCTTAATTAGTTTCAGTGTTTTAGTAAAGTACATGTTAAGATAAATAGAAATGAAATTTTGGTTTTTAATATTCAGGAAGCCAATTTTGTGGCCATGGGTGAGACAATATTTACCATAAATGGATTGGGATATTGAGCTAAAGGTAGCTTGGAGCAATTTTGGAAATACTTTAAAAATAAATAGTTTTTTAATTTAAGATAGACACATTCTTAAAAATATGAAAAGGATAACTGTGAAGATAAGACCAGATTGGCTTACTAACATTGTAGTAGAGAAAATTAAGATAAATGCCATAAGCCTAAGAAGTTTCATTTAATAGATTAGCAAGATTTACAGAACTACAGAAAACCCAGGGATTTGGTTAAAGATATTAGGAAATTCAAAAAGGCTTATGAGTAACAGGTGGCTTATAAAGTTTAAACTAACAGCAAGGATTTTAACTATTTTAAAGATAAGCAAAATGTTAGACTGGAGTTTGGGTCCTTAAAGAATGCTGATGGAAAGGCTTTTGTTTGAAGCTATGAGAAGATTGATCTCTTATTAAATGTTTTACTCTCTCTTGTTTTACAAATGAAGATACAAGCAATATTCCTGACCCTGAGCATTCTATGGACAATATTATAATTTACCTGAATCATATAGTCATTATTTCCTTGGTGGTAAGTAGAAAGATTGAGATACTGAAAACAGGTAAGGCACCAGGGCCAGACAAGGTTTAATTCTGGATTTAAAGGAGATCAGAAATCAGATATTTAAATGGTATAATTAAGTGTTTTACACTGACAAAAAGAAACCTATCATCCTATAGGTATTTGAAGAACTTGTAGCATTCCACTACAATTTAATTCTTCGTATTTTTAGCCGACACTAGGCTGAGGAGTGGAATTATTTGAAACTAGTCTGGCTCACAGACACACACCCAATAAAAGAATAGACCACTCCAAGCTTTTACTTGTTATTCAATAAATCAAATATGCAAACCTCTCTATCATTTTTGATAGGTCAGTTTAAAGTGGGCATAGATCTGAGGATTGGAAGGTTCCTAATGTTATTCCAATTTTTAAAGGGGATGAGAAGAGTTTCTGTGGAAATTATAGCCCAGTTAGTCTTACCCCTGTAGTGAGAAAAATTCTAGAGAAGCTGGTTAAAGGTGTAAAAAATCATTTAGTGAAATATATCATATAAACAAAAACATGGATTTGTTAGAGGAAGGCTTGCCTTACTAACCTGTTAACTTTTATGAGGACTTGTTTGTAATTAGAATAATGGAAAGGACATGGACTTTGTGTAGTTATACTTTCAAAATGTTTTTAGTAAGGTAGTACACAGAAGATAAGCTTTGAAAATCATATTTGTATGGTTTGGGGAAAGACTAGTTAATTGGATTATAGGGTGTAATAATAAGAGAAAGCAAGTGATTGTTATTAGTGGATCAGGTTGGTTTCTTGTAACTTATAGAATGCCTTTCTTTCTTATTTGTATTATTGATCGCACACTTAATATAAATGGAACCACTTAGTTTGACTAAAGAAAAGGATATCAACATACTAGTGGATAAGTGACTCAAGCAATTGAAGCAGTGCTTTGTTGCTAATAGTAAAGCTCATATAATTGGAAGATGTACTAATTGATATCTTGATTACATGTTAAAAGAGGTAATTATATATAGAAATAACCATTTATGCCATACTGTGTACAGTTTTGGTGGCCTTATCAAAGGAGTATTAATTTATCAGGTTTCATAGGAGTGCTACTGTGATGATTCTGAGGATGGAAGGATAGGTTAAGATCTTTTAATATATTAAATTGTCAAGAAATTAATGTCTCATTTTGGAACGCTTTCATTAACCACCCCCCCAAAAACGTACATCACGCATAATAGTTAAACGAACCACCTAAACGTCACGTCAGTGTACCCTGTATAATGTGTAAAGTTTAGTATACTCTAATCCCTTATAGTGATGGCACACAATGATACACACACATTCAGCATGTAATGCTGTTTGAATACAAGAAGGGAAACAATGCATCTGTAGCCAAAAAGAATATCAAAGAAATTTATGGAAATGTTTTGAATGTCTAAGTGTCAACAGTGGTTCAGCAAATTTCGTTCAGGTGACTTTAGCCTTAAAAACTGATGCTCTGAAGATGGTTGTTTAGTCTAACCCATGGCAACACACTCATGAAATGGCCCTGAAATTGCAAGTCCCTCATGAAACAATACGTAAACATCTAAGGAATATTTGAAAACTCCATAAAGAAGGTGTTCAGGTGCCTCATGAACTCTTCAGTTCACATTGTTTCCAACATGTGAATGTTTCATCTTCTGGTGCGTCAACCATTTTTGGACAGAATTATCACCAGAGTTGAAAAATTGATTCTCTATGCGAATATCAAATGCCAAAAGCAATGGCTCAGTCCTAGGCAAAAACAACTTCCAACCCCAAAACCTGGACTCCATTTGCAGAAAGTGATGCTTTGCATTTGGTAGGACATCAAAGGAGTAATTCATTTCAAACTTCTCAGTCCACTGGAACATTTAAATCAAGCCCTTCACTCCTCAATTGGAAAGGTGTTCTTCTGCACGTCCACATGTGGCATGTTTGATGCAACACAAGATTATGGAGTTGAGTTGGGAAGTTCTCCCCCACCCACCATATTCTCCAGATATTGCACCATCAAATTACCATCATTTTCATTTGCTGCAACACCATCTTAATGGGAAAACATATGCAAATGTGGAAGGTGTTAAAGAGGACATCAACATGTTTTTCGCTTCAAAGCCAAGTGATTTCTTTAATCAGGGCATTAACAACCTGATTGTAAGTTGGAAAAGCATCATCAGTAAGAATGGAGACTATTTGATTTAATAAATGTTTTGATATATAAGTTGTTCGGGTTTTTTCACCTAAAAAAAGTGAAATTAATTTCTTGATGACCTAATATTTTTTTGAGATGAAAAGAGTAAACAGTGATCATTTTAAAGCTTACAAGATTATACAAAGAATTGGTAGAGCAAATTCCTATTTGTTTTTGCTGTATTCTGAAGAAAATAAGACAAGAGGTCATAAATTTAAAAATCTGGAAAAATGGCCAAGTTTCAGTTAAGAGGTTCATCTTATGGAATGAGTTGCCATCAGAAGTAGTAGAGGATGGGAGATCAATGACTCCTTGAAAAAGAAGGCTTGGCTTTAAGGGTGGGTGTGTGAGGACAGTCTTGAAGGACCAAATGTTTTCTTCTTGTTTATATGTTATTTCTTTTTGTGGCTAGATTCATTATATCACAAACAGTATGTTTTGTTGAGATAAAACATGAGTATAAAGTTTGATTATCAAGAAAAGTTGGGTGTTAGGCTTATCCTCATTCAAGTTTTACATAATCTTTTAAGTAAGCTATCTTGTATATACTGATCTACTATCAATCTAACGAGTTGTTGGGTCTGAGGTATTCAAATGGTAAAGGCTATTGTTATAAATTCAACTAACTTGAAACATAACTCTCCATTTTATTGATCTCTGGATATCAAGTAATTGAGGGTTTTTTAGTCTTTGAGTATTTGTTTTTCAAATAAACAGGAATCTCTGTGGGTTTACCAAATGCTTCTTGTAATTTTATTCTGAAGGTATTGTAAAACTGACCTTCTACTTAACTACCAAGATATTTGATTTCTGATGTACAATGTATGATTTGCATTTTCAAAGGCAGACAATTCTTATTGTTGAGCCCCTGTTGCTCTTTGTAATGTTTCAAATTCTGACTGCATTTGCAGAAAATAGACACAACATAATACTCTATTTAGCTGAATGATTTATTTAAAATACTGTTTTCTTTATATTTCACAATACTAATAAATGCAACATCTGTTAATCAAGTAATGTAAGTTCAAATATGCTCCATTCAGCACATGTAATTTACATCTAAAAGAAGTACAGCTGAAATCTTGTAATTGTTTTTGTATTGCATTACTATTTGAACAAATATTAACTTTTAAATCATTTTTTTATTTTTCTTCAGATTACACTGCATCTGGACATAATATAATTGCCAATTCTTGATGCAATATGAAATATACTTTCTGGATATGCAGTTACATGTATCGTTACTGTCTTTGTAGATCACTGTGTGTTCTGTTACAGGTAGAACCAGGTGGGTAGATTATGGTGAAGATCTGTATCAGAACTGGTATGATAGAACATTGAGTCTGTGTATCTGTTACACGTACAACCAGATGGCTAGACCACAGTAAAATATCTGTTTTAGTATAGATATAATAGTTGAGCAGTATAATTTTGTTAACAGGTAGAGTAGATTGCAGTGATGATCATATTAGAACTGGTACTATATGATACAAAGAGTATGAATTATATTACAGGTAGAAACAGATGGGTAGAGTACAGTGAAGTTGTCAACATGGACTATGATGGAAGTCAAGTCCCAGCAGAATGGTAACAAAAGTTTCATTATTCTTTTGCATTCATGTATAATAATGTTCACTGATGTTAAGAAGGAAGTATAAAATATATCTTTATGAACCTTGTCATGGTTGTGAATATATAGAAAACACACAGATTGCAAAAAGTATCATCGAATTTTAAGGTATTACACCAATATAACATTTTCCATAAGTTGCTAAACACAGTTTTGTTCTGTAATATGTTTAAAATCTTGCAGAATTCAAATTTTTCATACCTTGCAAAACAGAACTGTGTTAACTATCTCTCATTAACCATAAGTGTTTTCCTATTTTTTGTATTTTGCTGATATAGAGCTGCAGTTCTGTAATCTATTTATTATTTTCCAAAATACAAAACTGGTATTTTCCATATTTTATTAAGAATAAAGCAGTTTTTCTGAAATCTGTTCACTGTCTTCTCAAATTCAAAACTATTTTGTTCATTATTTTTCATATCATTGCTGAACACAAACCTGTTCTTTGAAAAAATATTCTTCCAATTGAATTACTTTTCCTTTCAGAATGTAACCTGTTCTACTGGAACATTTAATGTCAACTTATATTTTTGCATATATTCTGACATGAATTTATTATTTTGGAGGAAAAAAATACTTGTTTTGAAAAGGTGCATAACATTGTTTTCTGTAAAATTTATAGTGAAATATGAATTTTCTAAATGTGAAGATAATAATAATAATACTAATGTATCCAAAAAAGGAATTTCAGTTAGTCAGTGAGTGTACAAGTTTTTTCCTCCAGCAATGTGTTTAGATTAATAAATTATTGTGAAAAAAAAACTTCAAAAGATGGTCTGAAACCTCCTTAAGTTAAATAACTATGGAATACAAACAGATATAACATGCAATGAAAGTCAAGATTTGTGAGTTACAGTTATAAAAGTCTGTTGTCTTTTTCACAGTCATAACAGAGAGTTTTTCTTTTTTTGTAGGCATCATTGGCTTCACTATATTACTGACAATCCACCAACCAAAGTTCCACCTGTTCAACATCGATGGATGATTGACCATACGGAGAATAAATCTGGTACCAGTGAGGCATACTATCCATACAGTACAACACGGCCAAAAATAGAAACGTGGACACCCCCTCAAAAACATCAGAGCCAATCACAAGTCTCCTCCCACTAGCTTCTAATAATGTGTAAAGTAGTTAGATAACTTTTCAGTGACTATTGTATAATAGTGCTTGTTTCACATATGTGAACTAATGTAGCTTCTTATATATTAAAGTAATTTAAAGGTACTTGTTTCAAGTATGTCAGCTAGTGTAGTTCTGTTTACAAATTTCTTGAGATAGAATAAAGACTAAGAAAGTAGTGTGTGTGTGTAATGTTTTTTTTTCTTCAGACCTTACAACTTGAAAAACCTACCAAATATAATAACTAAATGTTTGAAGAATATTTTAAAGAATGTTAAGTCTGGAAGATGGAAGTTGAATTACATATATATTATTTGGGTACAAATAATGAAAGGTTGTGTTATTTGTCTCATTCAGAACACTGACAAGTCTGAACATTTTTGAGAAGATAAACAATGTGAAATAAATAAATTATTTTTAAATAGTTTTATCATACAAAACTGAAGTTTTATGCAGTTTGAGAAATATACTTATTATGTTATAACCAGTTTCTTCCTGTTATTATAAATATTTTAGTAGCTTTAATTACATGCTTAATAACTTATAGCTAGCTATTCTATGTTATAAATATACCTTGTAACAGTGTGGTATGCAGGCATATGTATTTTCTTCTTTCTTATTTTAATGTAGAAATTTTCAAAATTTGCGTTTACTCTAAATCTAGTAAGTCTTCTCATAACACGTGATTAAGAAAACTATTATTCTCTGGAAATAAAACCTGTTCTGCCTTTGGAGGGTAATGCTGTATGTTGTGCAAGGATGTAGATTGTGGTATGTCAGGTGATACTTCGAGGTTACAGCTTCTCCTTTGTTGATTGAGTGATCACTTACATGGGTAATGCTATTCACTGTGAATAAATTTGATTAGAGGTAAAACAGTGGTGTCAAAGTTGTACCCATTGTGTTAAAAACAAGACTATGTCTAATCAGACTCATGAAGTGGTAGAGGAGGGGCATCAGGCAACTCAGTATGCGAGGTGTGAACACGAGTATTCATATTCAACTATTTGAAACTACTAGTCCTTTATAGTATGTAGATTTTTAGCATTTTGAAGTCATTCCCAGTAACAGAACTGGAATATATGTATTTTTTAGTTCTCTGAATATTTTACAAATTGGGTGGAAATGTATTCACTAGAAACCATTGAATGTGAAGAAATAGTAAGGGTTGTAGTGCATAATTTTACCTCTAGTTTTAGCACATTCATGATAATCTATTCAGACCTAGGTAGAAGTTTTGAACTTGTTTATTTATAGATTTGTATAAGTTATCAGGAATTGAAAAATCTCATTCTTCACCTTCTCTGGAAGGGAACAGATTCGGTGAAAGAAGTATTTAAACATTGACTACAATTTTAATAGTGATGATGGATCATAACCAAAGAAACAGAGATGAATGTTCATCAATGGCCATGATGGCTTATAGATCTAATAACACAGGAGTACAAATTAGAAACCAAATAAATTGGTGTTTAGGTGAGAAACCTTTTTACTGTTATAACATATGACATGAAAGGAAACCAAGAGACCTTTTGGCTCATCTAGGCCATCCTGTTCACTAAATTAAACAAAACACAACATCTAAAGGCAATCCATTCCAGAGGCCAACCACCTTATTAGAAAAATAAAGCTGTCTTAGCTGAAGATTACTCCTACCTTGCCAAATTTATATTTGTCCCCTAGTTTTACCATACTCATCATTTAATATGATAAAATATTATTGCATCAACACTATCAATTCCCTCAACAATCTTAAACACATGAATCAAATTCCCTCTAACTCTTCTTTTTTCAAGAGAAAACAAGTTTAGAGATCTTAACCTATCCTTATATGACAACCTTTCTGTCCCATATCATCCTCCCTCCTCTGAATCCCTTTAAACAATCCAATGTCCTTTCTTAGATAAGGAGCTCATGATTAAACATGGTACTGCAAATATGGCTTAACCAGTGACCTATACAATGACATTGTAACCTCTTTATATTTCATTATTTTTGTTGATAAAATCTAAAATCCTGTTTGCTCTACCACTAGCAACAACACATTGCTTGTATGGCTTGAAAGACTGATGAATCAGAACACTAAGACCTTCCCTATTCCTGTTAAGGTTATTCCCATCAAAATTATACTCATAATTCAAATTGTGATATCCCACATGCATCACCTTGTATTTTTTGTAATTAAAAGTCACCTGCCCTCATTTGCCCAACTCACCAAAGAATCCATATCCTTTTGTACAGCATTAGCACCCTTCTCACAGCCAGCAACACCCTAAACTTTGTCATCAGCAGATTTAAATAATCTATTGACCATTTCTTCATTGATGTTCATCAAAAATAGTAAAGATCCTAACACTGAGCCCCGAGGTATTAGATTTGTAACATTAATCCAGTTTGACTGGGCTCCATTTTTCATTTATAACAACCCTGTGTTTTCTTCCATCTAGCCAGTTTTCTATCTCATGAGCCAACCTATCTTTCACACTTACGGAGATAATCTTTTTTAAGAAGTCTTGTGTGTGGCCCCTTGTCAAATGTTTTCTGAAAATCCACATATATCAAACCCCCATCTGTGCCCTCATCTACTAGCAATAACCTCTTCAAAATATTAGTAATAGGGATGGAAATAGAAAAGAGAGAACCATACATTTTAACAGACCTAAATATTTTGACAGAGAAGATGGAGTTACTGAGGATGATGAGCAAGAAGACAGGTTTAATATGGAGGATTTAGATAATAAAGACAGAGCAAAATAATTTGCCTGGGTTAGAGTCAGTTTCATCATCCACGGAAAAGTCCCTGCCTGGATGAGAGATTACATTATTTATTTGTGCTATTGTTAATGTGATTTTTTCACTCTTGAGGATGAACGTTGTTAAAGTGAGAGGGGTAAGTATGTAACGATATGTGATAGTTACATTCCATATATGGTGACTGTTCCATAAATAATAACACGTAACTTTAGGCAGAGCTATAAAAAGCTAAATTGATAAGAAACAGGTTATCTAATTCAGAAGATATGTAGAGTTGTGTTGATTCAGTGTGTGAGTGCGGTCTAGTTCTTATGAGTTTGAGTAAAGCAACAGATTATTAGGGAGCACCATTCATGGTGAAAATCAGCTGGAAGAGATTTTATGTCTCAATTGAAGATAGCACTGTCCAAATGAACTGATTTCTATGAAGAACCATAAGTTTTGCCTTGGAAGCTGAAAGTGACATGTTAGTAGAATAGGAGCATTATATTCCAGTTGTAGTGTTCTTTGCAAAAGATCAAGCCAATGAGTTTGTGTGGAGTTTTCATGTTTTCTTCTATTGAATAATTGTCATCTTAATAAAGATGTAGGACTTACAAGGTTTGCCTGGCTTGAAAATTGTGGCATTTCCCCTTTACATATTGGCCTGGCTCCTCTGCTCATGTCATAGTGTTTTCACAGTTAGATTCAAAATTTAATTAAACAAATTTATTATCAATATATATGTAAATAAAATTAACATCAGAGTATAGTTTATAACTAAAATATTTATAGTATCTAAGTTTTAATTTATTAATTTCAAAATAAAATATTTGAAATTCTCTATCTTTATATCTGTGTGCCAATAGAGAAGTTGATTCATGTTTATAGCATATAACAATTTTTATTTTTTACCCTATATAGCTTAGTTTGAAAACTAGTTAAATTATGGTTATTTTTTTCTGTTTTAGTGATATATGTATTATCTTTTAAGATATTTGAAAGGTAAATTAATTTTTCTATCAATCAAAAAGACGAAAACAAAAATTAGGGTTAGATAACTATGAGTGCATGAATTTAGAGTCGCACTTATGCATACATAAATGTATGGAAATGTTCCCACTTTGAAGTGTTGCTGTTCAGGCATGAAAAAAATTGAACATCACACAAACCAGACAATAAAACTATGAAAATAATACATGTGAAATGGTAAAATGTTGAAAAATAAGAAAAAGGTGTTCATTTTATTTCATAATTTTCAAAATTTCATATCACTGTACATTAATGATGTTTGGTTAGAGAAAATAACAGATAAAATATACACTTTTGTCTTAAAAACTTGATATTCATGTACGAGGTTATAGAAGTTAAGCAAATGAGATATGAAAACTAGAATGAAGTTTTCTTATCTAACCTATATAAAAACCAGTGTGTGTGTCACATCAAACTTGATTTCTTGAAATAAGATGAATCAAAAAAGCCAAAATGCATTTATTCAGATAGAATAGTTTGATTACTGTCTGCCCATTACGATTTCAGTGAAACCTTATGTGCGTAGTGAGTGTAAATATAATAAGCCTAAAGTAAAGACGTAGTGTGGGATTACCTAGCCTAGAGCCAAGTGCACAAAACTATCATTGAAGTAAAAATATCTGTTCAACTTTAAACTTAAATTGTTTCTGAATTAAGCTATTTTGTGTTATGTCACTAACATTTTAAATAAAAAACAAACCTCTTTAATCAACAAATATATATATATATATTCCAGTTTTGTTGTCTGTACATTTATTTCATTTTATACTTTCAGTACATATACTAACAACAATATTAGGTTATATATTTATTGCTAAGCAACATGACATAAAAGCCATTGTTAGAAGTAGTGTTACCAAAATGCACTGGCTTTTCTATGTATTAGGAGTTGTTAATCTAACTGATCTTTACCAATAATTATTCAATGGATAGGCCACAAATTCATTTCATGAATGATCTTAATTTTGATCAGCTCAAAAAGGAAGTTACTGACATTTGACTTCTTAACTGCACTTTTCTGCCTCATTGTTTGTTAAGCTTGATTTTGCAAAATTTATTTATTTCAGTTAGCTATGAAATATGAGGTTAGGATATACTATAGAGTGGGGTGGTAGTACTTACCCCGTCATTTTTGATGGGTTATACACTAGTTCTTAGCATAAACTTTACCTTGCCCTCCTATTGACTTACTCTATGCTTTGGTAATTCACAGACAAATTTTTACTATAAATACTTTATTAAAAAATTGATTTTTTTAGTGCAACAGAGACTTCTAATGTTTACTAAAGAAACTGCCAAATTTTGTGGAGATATATTTAGTGCATTCAGAGATATATATAATTTCATGGTTATATGGTGGTTACAAAATCAGACTTAAAGGATGTGGTCTGTAAAACATGGGTGTATCCTTTAATGAGGAAAGCATGCAAGATTAGAATAATTCTTAATGGAAGGTAAAGCCAAACTATCACCAGTGAAGCTAACTGTAAGTAATCTTAGATGCTAAAAAGGAAAGTGTATATGCATTTTATTTTGTGTTAACTGAAAAGTTTTTCTGGCAATTTAATTGTTGTGTAATACATTGTTAAAACAAATGTGAATGGTTGGAACGTAAACCTATTCTCTACTGATCATTGGTAAATTTTAATCTACCATCACTGATAGTAAAAAGATTAGACCCATCCTAGTGTTTAGTTTATTACAAGTTATAGCTTTTTACAGTAAGGAAGACTATTTTTTAGAACAGGTACAATTGGAAATCAGATTCACAGAACACAATAAAAACCTTCCCATGTTTTCCACCATTGCAACTCAAAAAACCATAGTATATCTATTAAAAACACAGTAATTTTAAACGAAAAATCAACGAATCCATCTTAATTGAACAAAACAACCCTACTCTAAGCAACACTCTGGGGTGCCAAGATACCTCTTCTGAATCTTGCAACAGTATCCAGTCATGTGACCTCTTTGTTCCATACTGTATATATGTATCTATGTCATTGTAAGCTACTTGTACCTGATGATGACAAAACATTGTACATTTGCTATGTTAAACCTATATTAAAGTTTTTCTTCATTACCCTATCGAGCATTATTAGTCTCAAAGTGGGTTGCTCGTCATCTATTGTTTCAATCACTAGTGCGATCATTCTCAAGTACACAAGTTTTAATGGTAAAGAAGTTTTTAGTATTTAAATCAATATTCAACAATTTAAATACTAAAACCTGTGTACTTGATAATGATTGCACCAGTGATTGAAATGTTGTACTTGTTCTAAAAATTTCTTTGTTACTGTAAACGCTGCAACTTATAATAAAATAATACTTAACAAGTAAGTAAACTCAAAAATGAAAAAAAAGTTAGTTTGTTACACATTTTCAGTTAGCTGTTTAATCTTAAATAGTTTGTGAACAAAATAAACACTATATTACCTTCTTCAGGGGAAATATTTTCTAAACACAATTTGAGTTAGCCATGTAATCTTAAGTAACATCTTGTGATATTGTTTCTCACAAAGCTCTTTACATTTCTGTACTTTGAGTAATTTTAATATTATAACAAAAGAGCTTTGCTGACAGTGCATAAGCTATGTTGTCTGGAATGATAGAGTTACTGGATGTTCATTGGATTAACGAGATAGAACTAAGACATAAAATTGTGTATATCACGTCACATGTTGACTGAATTATTGAAACAGAAAATAGACACAGAGTTGTGTATATCACATGTGTTATGCAGATTATTGAGACAGAAAGGAAACACAAATTTGTTTATATTGCACTGTGTGTTGATTAGTTATAGAAACAAAAAATATTTCTTGTTCAATGGCTTGGTGATACCTCTCTAGTGTTTCTAGCAACTATAAGGCACCTTTCAATAATTCACTGTAAAAAATGGGTTCTGTGATTCCTGGACGTCTGTGGTGAAGACGTTTTGATTCAATGAGATTTCCACCAAGTGGAGGGTTGCTACGATAAAACTCCATAATGGCCTTCAATCTAGGTTCCACCTCTCCCAGAAAAGGTCGTTTTTTTGGGTCTGTAGCCCAGCATTCAGACATCAGCCTCCAAGAGTCATCACTAAACTGTGGCAACCTTTCTGGTCTTGCACCTGTAACAGTTCTAACTGTTAGATTGGATTTTTTAAAAACAATTTAACTGTTGATGTGAAAACTATAAATATATTAATAATCACCAAGAAACTTTACCTGTAATGCATGAAGTAAGCATATCTTATTTAAAACCAATATGTTTTGGAAATCAACTCAATTTAGGATCAAGATAACAGACTTACTGTTCATTCTTATATAAGTTTAGGATAAAAAAGTACAAATTTGCTTTTTAAGTTATTAATTAAACTTAATTGATCAAGTTTAGTTTCAAAATATACTACATCTTGCAAACAATGAACAATTTACAACAAATCCAATATATAACAAAATTATAAAATTTATTTAAATCATCCCTTGGAGAGAGCTGGATGAAGGTAATTAAACTCAGTGGAACACATAACTTTCAAAGATCTCACATACAAAGAAATAAAAAGATCCACCTATAATTATGAACACAATGTATAATTCTCCTACAGTAAATACTGTGGTTACAAATACAAACTAGACATAGATGGAATGAAACACACATATATATTCTCAAATTTGATAAGATTATAACTACAAATTGAAGCACGTTTTTCTTTACAACTTTGAGTAGATTGTATGCAATAATGCTAATTACAAAATAAGTTATGTAGCCACATTTCTGAACTATCATGCTTTATAAACAACTTGAATACTGCATTGTTCCAACTGCTGTAGACATGATTAAAAACTAAATCAGAAAGGTATACCAACATCCTACCTCTAACAACACTGTTGAAGAGCCGATCCTTTGTTTGACACTGTTCAAATATGTAAGGCATCTTGATGTCTCCAGCACACAAGTACCACAAAAGGATTCCAAAGGCATAAACATCTACACTGCTATCATAGTGTCCTGTGAACAGCTCTGGGGCCATGTGGATTGGTGTTCCAACAATACTGCCAGATATCATAGCTTCTGGTTTACAGAAGCCTAGGTCAGTTATCTTAGCTTTGTTTCTAGCATCCAGCTAAAGTAAATAATGTAGCTGTCATGTCTGAATATTGATGCATGTTATCATAGTTTCATGTTTACACAAGCCTAAATTTGTCAAGTTGCTTTCAGTATTGACTTAAGGAATTATTGGAACAACAGTTTAACATATACATTTGTCCAATTCAAAGAAAACAGTGTAGTTCATAGCATCACTTTGGTTGGTAATTAATACAATAAAACAAAGTTTTGGATGTCTGAACTCCAAACATCTATTTACATTAGCTGTAGCATTAAAACTTATTGTTATATAAACTAAATGTAATAAAATGTGACAGCATTAGATTTTAATGTTAAAATACTTTTCTTAAAATTTAAATATTACCATAGATACAATATAGTTTTAAATTACCAATGAGTGAGTACGAATGTGAGAGTAACAGACAATACAGTATTAAAACATGCATATTCATAATTACAAATGTAGCAGTTATCAGAGATGGAAAATTATAAATACATGTCTATGAAATTACCAATTACTAGAGATTTTATAACTTTTACACTAAAAAAATAAAATGGCAGTTATTAAAGAAACAGTTTACTACTTACTAACACATGTGAAAGTGACAGGTATCAGAAATACAATATACAACTTAACAATACATGGCTGTTAAAGTTACGGTCACTAGATGAAAGTTTTATAAATTACTAATACGTGATTATAAAAGAAACATTTAATAGAGAGGACAGATTTTCAACTTATTGAGAAAGAGAATATTTACCCATAAGATAGTTATTTCAGCTTATCAATAACTTGTTGAAAAATGGAACAGTTATCATAAAAGACAGTTTTTCAGCTTAACTATAACTTATTAAGAAAGGGAACAGTTACTAGAAATGATAGATTTGGGTTTTTCAACTTGATAATGAATTGTGACTTACCAGTACATTTTTCAGTTTGATATCTCGATGAATGAGTCCCTGACTGTGAAGAAATCGAATTCCTTCAACTACATCAAGACCAATCTGTAGAATATCAATTCTCTTAGTTATGAATCAGCTATTGATAATCTTGTTTGTTTAGATTTGTTATTTACAATGTTATGAAGTAAAAACAATGTTTGAAGTGGGGTGGGATGTCATCCCACTTCATTTCAGGAGGGCCCAAAACCCTCCAGCCACCTTTTAGTAGACTGTAAGCTTCTCAGATGCAATAAATATTTACAGTGATAACAGACTGGGGAGAGTAACTATAAACTTAAAATGTTACACAAGAGAGAGGCAGAAATGAGACAAAGTAGAGCACAGATGGAGCAAATGAAACCTCTCGTTATGAGCTTGATCAGTGTAACGAAGTTCATAACCACAAAGTAACCTTCAGAGTTTCCATACTGCAATTCATTACAGTACACATAATTTATACTTAATTTTATTGCCCTTTAACTGTGTCTAACTAATAATCCCACCACATAAGTTGTAAATCACTCAGCAAATATGCAGCTCATGTTACCATGTAAAATTACGTAACACATGAGCTCCTTGTGAGTATACCTTATGAACAATTTTTATTATTATATTCCATTATCTTATCTAATCTAATGTTATCTGACATAATAGGTTTATAATTTTCATATTTCAGTGACTTTCATAATAATAAGTTCTGAATACACATGAAAAAGCAAGAAATATAGTACTCAGCTTCAAAAATTTCCCAAACCATCCCACTTCAAGCAATGAGTAAAAAATATCTTCTATAATCACAAAAATATGAAACTGTAAAACATGTATACTTCTGTTTCACTACTATTGACACAGGAAAAAAACAACTAATTTCTATAAAAGAACCTTCCCTTAGTGGTAGAACATGAGTGTTACATCTACATATAAAAAGATATTAAGAAAACAGATGTTCATATCACTAGTAGGTTATATCATATCATTGACCTACTTGCATCTACATACTGTTGTTATATTGTTACATCACCATGTTGACCCACTCATGTATATCGCTGTGGTAGTTTATATCACTATGTTTGCCTACTTATATTTACATTGTTGTGGTATGTTACATCACTGTTTTGATCCACAGATATCTATATTACATTGATAGGTACACCACTATTCATGTTGGCTTTCTCAAATGTATATCACTTGGTAGGTTATATCATTGCACATGTTGACATACTCATATCTATAACACTGTGATAGGTTACATCATTATGTTGACCCAGTTGTATCTATACCACTGTAGTATGTTACAATTTGCATCACTGTACATCATTATGTTGACACACTCATATTTGTATCAGAGTGGTAGGTTACATCACTATGTTGACACATTCATTTCTGTATCAGTGTGGTAGATTACATCACTGTGTTGACACTTGTATCTGTATCAGAGCAGTAGATTACATCATTGTGTTGACATTCGTATCTGTAACAGAGTGGTAGGTTACATCACTATGTTGACACATTCATTTCTGTATCAGTGTGGTAGATTACATCACTGTGTTGACACTTGTATCTGTATCAGAGCGGTAGGTTATATCACTATGTTGACACACTCACTTCTATACCATTTTAGTGTGTTACATCATTATGTTGATCCACTCATTTATATCATTGTAACAGGTTACATCACTTTGTTGGCTCAAAGATATCTATATTATATTGACAGGTTACATTACTATGCATGTTGACTCACTCAAATGTATATCACTTGGTAGGTTACATCATTGTGCATGTTGACACACTCATATCCATAACACTGTGATAGGTTACATCATTTTGTTGACCCAGTTGTATCTATACCACTGTAGTATGTTACAATTTACATCACTGTACATCATTGTGTTGACACACTCATACATGTATCAGCGTGGTAGGTTACATCACTGTGTTGACTCACTTATCTCCATGTCACTATAGTACATCACATCCCTATATATACATTCTCTGATTTCATCATCAGTGTAGTGTGTTACATCACTGTGTACATCCACATATCTGTATTAACTTTAGTAAGTTATATTTGGGTTCTTTCACTCATATCGATAGTAATGTAACATCTTACATCACAATGAGTGTCCAGTCTACTACATTCATACAGAAAGTCATGCATTTATGCTTATATAATTATAGCAGAGCTGCTTATGGTATTTAACATTTTCTACGTAGTCTACATTTTTCTGATGAAGCATTAGCATTTTTTGGCTTGAAAAAGTCACATTCAACAGCTTCTGTTGATATTTTGTAATTGGAAGCCCGAAGCCATATTGCTACTGTCAGGTTTGTAAGCCCCAGATATTGACTGACTGCTTAAAAACGTGCTTCAGTGTACCAAATATCTTTGTTACTGAAACTCTACCACACTGTCACTAAGTTCATGTTCATGTGAACATTTGGCATCTGCTCTACACTGGTTGAATAATTACCTGAGGTGTATACAAACCGAAGAAAGACTAGCTTTAATACACAATGAATATGATACAGCTATCAACATTGAAACTGTATGCAAGTTATTTATGGAAAAGCACCCCTGAAGAACAGAGCATGCTAACGTGTTATTTCAGCAGTGCATATGATAGCTAATATACTATTGTTGTACAGAGTACAAGTCTGGAAATTACAACAGTATCTGTATCCACTTATCTCTCTCTACATTACTGTAGTCAGTTATATCTCTATATAGACCCATTCATCTCTACATCAGTGTAATAGGTTACTGAACTACACACAACCTTTCATTTCATTATTAATGTAATGGTTATATTACAATATACAACTATGTATTTTTATTAATGCAGGAGATTATGTCATTATTTACATCCAGTTATTTCAATATGAACAGAGATAGTTATGCAGCCCTTGGGAGGTTTGAGGGCCTTACATGTGGTATTTCCCACCCCTGCACTTAGTAGACAACTCATTATATAAATAACCTTTATTCCTATATCAGTATTTCCATTTCATTTCTGTACTCAGTTATATCACTATGTACATTCACTCATTACTTTATCATTCTAATAGGTTAAATCTCTCTATAAATCTAGTATATCTCATTTCTTGGAATGTAAAATTTAAAAAATAGAGAAACTCGTCTTTACTTGGAAGTTCAAAATACACAAAAGAAATTTCTGCTTACAGAAATTCTAACAGTGATTAAGCACTCAAAATTAGTAGCAAATGTTTCCTCAATGTAAACAAAAACTTTTTCATGTTCATATTTTATAAATTTTACAAATGAAACTTAAAAAATTATATAAAGTCACTATAATCTTGTCACATAAAAGATCAACATATAATTTGATGAACTTTTATCACTATCCTAATAATAATATTAATAACCTTATGATTTCACATTTTTTAATAATAGGTTAGACACATCTGCATCTGGCTTAACTAAAGAATGCAATACTTTCAAACTAAACACAGAGGTTGAGTATCTTATATTAAAATGATTTTGGAGTTTCACCACATCATGACACTATATGTTCCCATGTCTGGTCATTCTCTATCTCATGACCATGCATCTTGACAATAGCCCTATAGCATAGTTTCCATTGCAAAAGGCTCTACTGACAGGCTGTTATGTCCAAAGCACAACCTTTTCTTTCCTGCTGCTTTCTATAATCTATATTGTATATGAAGATGATAGTTTACTTATGCCTGTTTGAACAGTCTGATTGTAGACATTCATAAGCACTATGTCTGATAATGTGATCATTGTATCTTAATATAAAATCATATGGAAATCCTTTTCATTTTAAATCTGTTTAAGGTATGCTGTGGCTGAATGTATATGTCATAAAGACAACTTGAGCCACTTTTGCAGATGGAAATCCTTCTTGATTATGTTTCATACTGGTGCCTGAGTTCATTGCACAGCTTTTGCCACTGAAATTTGGTTTTGTGGATTCTAACCTGTTACAGGGCTTCACACTATTACCGTAGCTGTGGTATGACTTATTGTGAGTCTTTTCTGGATGGTCCTGGTTCCTCAAGTTGATCTGTATTCCTCTGTTTTCTAATGTCATTAAGTAAAAATAATATCTCCATCTTGGAAATTAACTATCCTTGATATTAACACATTTATGATCTGAGCATATGAATACTTTGACACATAAATGGCTGTTACATATTCTTTCATAAAAGTGAGCAATTTTTAGTAGCATCACAACCTACAAAATGCCAAACTATATTTCCAGTACATGCTGTTCCACCATGACTTTATATTTGTTTTGGCTGTCAGGTGACTTGCTGATTTCCATTTTCAAAATTTTAATATAATGTACTCAATAAAAGCTTGTAAATTCATGTAAGAATAATATAGCACAATACCAAAGCTTGCCTTCAGTATAGAATACAATACCCTAAAACTAACTATATAAAACTAAATATAATGTAAGTACTAATAACCTAGCAGCAATATCCAAGTCTCCCTTTACAGAATATAATATGTTTAAGTTACATATAATTTAATAATAACCTAGCCCTTACAAAATAAAATACTGTAAATGTATACATAAGATTTAAATTAATGCAAGTGATAATAACCTAGCAGCAATATCTAAGTCTTCCTTCAGTACAGAATTAACTAGAATGATTCAGCTTCTACATCACTATGATCAATTTGCAAGGGCTTAAATGTACATAATGGAAAAAATGCATCAGCCACCTCTATAACAGGGAACCAATAAAAAACCCAGAACTATAAATTTAGTGAAATCATAATATGTGGTGTTGATTTCCTACATTACTGTTTACAAAATTGACATTGATGACTATATTCAGTTTATAGAAAGAAAATATGGGTTTAATTTTAAGATTAGGCAGACAATGGTTATCAAACCTATTAACCTATTTTAACAACAAAGATACTTTCATAGTCTTAGAAAAAGGCTTTGGGAAGACAAAAATTGATACTTATTTTCCCGTAATTTTTGCAAAATGCAATGAGGCTATTTGTTTTGGTTTGACACATTTTCACACTGAATGTATTAATGTGGTGGTTGGAAATAAATGAAATATAAAGACTGAATTATTCAGGTTAGTATACAATACACTACCCTCAGTCTACATATAAGCTTGAATTTTAATGTAAGTAATAATCTAGCAGCAATGTCTAAGTCTGCCTTCAGAACAGAATACAGTACCTTCAAATTAACTATCAACTTTAAATATAATGTAAGCAATAATAAACTAGTAATGGAGGTGGAAACACATGGGCATGGTGTACCTATACTTTTTTTAGCCAGAATGCTGTATCATCACTATTTCAAACGAATCCCACCTTACATAGTTAAATGCATTGGGCACTTCTCTATTTAGCACAAAATACACTAATTACCAGTTAACTATTCATAACAGTATTACCTGTAACCTTGTAAAAATATCTAATCCCATCTTCAGTGCATGAAACAGATCTTGTTGTAATCGTTCCATAATCAGCAATACAGCTGGTGAGTGTCCACCACCATAATTGTGGTCAATGACAGATCCTTTAATTTGGACAACCCTCTCATGGTCAGGTATGCTTCTGGCAAGGCAATACAAATTCTCTTACCTCAGAGTATAGATCACATTACAAACTTTTGTTCTACTACTAGCTTAGTTTTATTTTCTTTACTGAGGATAGTACTTTCACAGGCCTACTAATATATAAGAAAAGACTAGTGAAATCAGTGACTAAAAGTCTGTAGCAGAGGTAGTATTCAAATGTACATCACTGACAAACATAGAAAAGAAATGGAATATTTTGACACCAATTTAAGGCCAGTGGGATTAACAGGAACAAAATGACAAACGTTTACATTTTGTCCTGAGTAGATGCTGTTGTGTAAAACAAAGTTATTATAAAAAGTCCTTGTAGAATTTATGATCACTCTAACTGTAAGAAAATTTCAGTACATTGTCAATGAATATTTTGACATTTTAAAGTTTTATTTCTTTAAAATAAACAAATAATCTACTACTAAAAAATAAAATATGCTGGAATTTCATCATTTATCATAATGTCAAATCCAAAGTTTTCTCAACTTGTATTGCATCAATATTTTGATATCTTACGATGTATGTATGAAGTTGTTTTTGTATTAAAAACTAGCTCAAACACTCAAAACTTTGGATTTGACATTATGATAAATGATGAAATTCCAGCATATTTTATTTTTTAGTAGTAGATTATT